GCCATCGCCTGCAGCAGGAATATCAAAAATAATTTGTTTGACAATAAAAGACGATAAACATTAAAATTATGTGCAAGAGATTTTCGTTATATTTTTTTGCTTTCGCTTCTTTGGGCTATGCTGAATAAAAAAAAATTTACCAAAATCATAACAATAAAAGAGGGAAAATGTAAATGCTTTGATGGTGATTTTTAAATGCTCTTACAACTAAGACATAGAACTATTTAATTTATGAAATCTCTCTTAATATTATTTAGTAAACAATAAATAGAACACATTATATTATGTTAAATCCTTTTTTGATTTTATTTAAAAAATTTTAAATTAAGCAGTAAGAATTGCTGTATTTTTTCCTCCAACTTCACTTACCGTTTCCTCTCTAGAGCATTTCCCCAAAAGGGAAAACGTACAAGTGAGCTGCAGGCAACAAAAAAGACAGAAGCGTTGTCAACGCAGTGAAAAGCTTTCTACGGGTTTTCGCCGCTTTTCCTCCCCCATGAAAACCTGCTTCTCTTATCCCACTTTTCATGGATTTCTGTCCTGCGGGGTGGTTACTTTTAAAGTGAGGGGAAAAAGTGATATCTCTAATGATTAGTCCGCTAAACTCACTCGTAAATTTGTCAAATCGCTCAAGTTATGCGAATCGCATTTTTTCCTCTTTATCTGCGGCATTTGCATAGCTTCGTTTTTCCCGCTTTCCAATTTGCTTGGCTTTTCCCTCGGGAGCCACTCCCTTGACCAGCTTTTTTATTTGATTATTAAATTAGGTTTTTCTTGTTGGCTTTGGTTTGGGTTTTTTCTTCACTTATTTCTTGCACTCTCTGGCCTCATTAAATATTTCTACGCGATTTTTCCTTGTTATTTTTGCACTTTGACCAAAATGGGAAAAAGAAACATCAAAAAGCGCGTGAAAAGTTTTGCTCAACAGCGGAAAATATATTGCTTGAAAATTGCTTTGCCAAGTTTATTTTATTTTCCTGTTCTTTGACAATTGTTTGCCATATTTTTCTGCAATTTTTTATGCATTACATATATATACATTTTTTTTTGTTGCCAAGGCTAACGAAGACTCATTGTTTCTGTGACTCTTTTTGCTGTTTTCCTTGTGTTTTCCCCCGCTCTGTCTCTGTTCTGTTTGTTACAACTTTTCAATTGTTTCGCTTCTGTCATTACCTTTGACATGGCTCTGGCAACTTGTGGTTGTTGTTTCTGCCTTTTGACTGTCGCCGCCTTTTGTCTATCGCGCCTTTTGTCCCCGATTTTCACATTTTCCTCCTACCACTTTGCATTCGCACTTTGATCTGCTGCATTTTCTGTATTAATTGTAATGATGAAGTGCAACCAATGTCAGAACTTGAAACTTGAAGGGGAATGGATGTAGCCTGCGGTGGGTTGAACTTGCCATTAAATGTAATTGTTAAGGAGGGAGAAAATGGGAAATGGAAAGCAGGAAACCCCCTTCAAAAATAGGGGAAAAAATATATATTTTGAGGTGGTGAAATCGCTTTTTTGAAATACAAGGCATAATTGTGATTTTATTTTATAATTGTAGATTATTTTTAGCTTCATGTTTAAATATTTGCTATTCAAAGTTAAGTTTCCTTTACAAGTTCTTTACATTTTCCAATTAAAATGTAATTTTCTTCAAAGAGTTTCAAGTTCCTTCTCCTTCTTCCTAATAAACAATTGACATATATTCCAAAATTGCCCTTGTGTGAAGTGCAAGCCAGCTGCAGTTTTACTTTCAACTTGAATGCACTTTACCGAGTGCACTTTGGCATGCTTCTTCACCTTGACCCAGATTTGTTCTGTCAACCCTTTTTGCAAAAACAAAAAAAATTTATATATATAAACAAATATTTGCCCCGATTTCAGGTTCCCCTAGTTGTTACTTTACGTGTTTTTCCCGTTCAGCATATGCATTCCACAGGCGAAACGTGCTCAAAGATGCAACATATGCACTGGTTTTTCCCTCAAAGGACGACCTTGAGAGTGGGGATTAAAGATTGTGCGCTTAAAGCGCTTCTACTCTAAGAGTTGCTACTTCTATTTCCACTTAATAAAGCACACTAATGATGACCACAAATCCAGACCGACGAGCAGCCAAATTGAAATGAATCCGCACTTAAGCACGTTCCAGCAGAACTCTCGGATAAATAAAACCTGAACCACCGGTATTCATTTCCATTAGGGCCAAAGCCAACTCTAATTTATTTTTAATAATCTTGTTTCATGCATTTCTTTTTCAAGTTCCCTTTGAGTTTTGCAAACATTCTTTTCCCCCCAGGGAACACCAGCGGAAAAAAATGTTTAGGGAAAGACCAATTGATTTGCTTAGTAAGTTTGTGTACTTTCAATTAAGTTTAAAAATGCCTCGAAAGATACTCAAATAGTCAAATAACTAAGTACATGCTTGATCATATCAATGTTTGCTTAAGGAGAATTTTTGTGTATTTTTTTTATAAAAGAAAGAGTGTACTGCTTTATGATGAAGAATATTTCATAACTGGTGAAAAATTTAGAAAGGCATTAAAATGTATACTATAAGTGCATTCTTCAAAGTAAATTAAATATATTAACAGATGAAAAACTATTATTTTTTATAGATAAATATTGGTTAATTGTTTTTCAATGGGAACTTTTTTTAATACTCGAGTATGAAATTCATACAATATCCTAGGATTATTATATTTAATAGCCATATATTTTTGTTTTTCCAAATTTCAATACTTCCAACTATACCCTATAAAATAGTCCCTTAAATCTGCTGCTTGTTCGGCAAAAAATAAAAATCCAAAAACTGTTTGTTTACGGGTCACTTTACCATTGAAAAATTCCCAGCTGGACGCACCCACACATGTGCACTTGAGGCTTTCACCGCTTTCACTGCTTTCTCCCGGAGAAAGGGTTGCTGAAGGATGAAGGATACACGATATCATGTGTGGGACGCTTAAGCAAACAAAAGTGCAAATTCCCGAGGGGACATTTGATTGAATTCAGACAGTTAACCGTCCTTATAATGCGCATTTCTATAACAAAAAAAAAAAAAAAGAATCCTGCGAAATCCTTTGGCTTCTGCTTATCTGCCTGGAAGAAAAATATCGCAAAAAAATTTTAAAATCATCTTCAGGCGCTGGGGAACAGTTTATTTGGCAAATGGTATTTGTTCTTTGCCAGTTCTTGCCATGATTGATATTATTATGGATATGGCCATTCGCTGATTGATGGCTTCGGTGGACGGCGGCTAAACTGAATTTTCTATTTGTATTTTAGAAAATTAAAAAAACAGCTTAGCATATACATACATATAAAGCGTATTAAAAAATCGAAAGTTGAAAGATTTCGTTCTTCTCTTTCCTTTTTATTTTTTTTTTAAATCAGCCTAAAGGCAGATTTTAGAATTTGATGGGTGGCGCCACGCGACATTTTTCCGGGCCGATTGTATGATGCTGGGAAATTTGGTTTGGGAAATATGAGGAATTATCGACTGTCCATTGTTAGGCGAAGGCTTTGATCTTTAAGGCAGGTATCCACTCACCAAGGATAGATTGAGGGATATAAAACAGTAGGAGGTTTTGAACGGAGACAGAACAGTAATTTAAATTCGAAATGTAGTAAAAATATAAAAAAGTCTTATACATCCTTAAAGTCTAAATATCTTAAAAACGGAATATATTTAGGTATTATAATTTTAGTTAAAAGACTCAAACGAATTGAAGGAATCATTTCCGACCCTATAAATCATATATATTCTTCATCAGCATTAACAGGCAAATCGATCTAGCCACGTTCGAAAGAAGAATTTTTTTTTAAATTTTTTTCAAAATTTTAAAGGGATTAATCAGCATTAATTAAATAAAAAAATCAGCAAAATTTTAAATTTGTTTAAATTAAAAATTGAGTATGCAGTTTTATAAAAGTAATAAAAACAATCACAGAGCAGCTTTCCATATAAAAATATCATATATTGGAATAAAAACGCTAATTTTTCAAGTATTCTTGAGTCCATAAAATGCCTAAAAAGCCAGTGTTTGCCAAAAGTCATGTATTTTCCGAATCGGCAACAAAATTCCAATTAATAAATATTAAAATGGTAAAAAAATATTAATTTTGGTTTTTTTTTATTTTTAGACTTTTGAAAGGTGAAAATAGATACTTAAATTTGACAAAAACTTAAGAAAATTTTAATTTTTATAAATTTAAAATTACAGTATGCAGATTTATTAAGCTAATTAAAACTAGCAGAAAAACACTTTCCGAACTAAAATTAACCCATTTTTAGCTTAGTTATGACCGTTTTAAATGTGGTTCCTTGATTAAATTTATCTTCCTGAAGTTACTTATCTCCCTTGTCATTTCTGAATTTAATAACTTTATAATTATGATAAGATTATAAGTTCTTAATATTTGTAAGCTCAAAATAAACCAAAATAAATGTTAGCATTTGAACAAAAGTTAAAGATATTAAATCTGTTCGCAAATGAAAAAAGGCAATTATTTTTCCCAGCTAAACAGAAATTATTTCAACACATGTTTTTATATTCTTTTAATCATATTTTATTAAGTTTTATATTCATATGTTTGTCATTTACTCAGCTTAGTTTACATTTAAGTTACTTAAACAATAGTTAGTTTTGCGTTTCTTGGGTTATTTATGGATGTAAATATTTCTACTTTTGAACTTGTACTATGTTTATGCTCGTGACGTTAAAATACGTCCATACTCCGGTTATTCCCCTGTCGAGTCTTAGCCACATACATATATATATTGCTTATTTTACGGATCTAGTAACTAAATTGACACACACACGCACAGCTTATATATCGACGGCAAAGTAAATATAAAAAATATATATGTTTTATTATTTTTAAAAATATATATATATTTCCATAACTATTCGCTAAGTTGAAGAAGCATTCTACCTAGGAAGTTGAAACATTACAATTTGATCCATAAATAGACACCAAGAGAGTTTGTTTGTAAAAAAGTCATCGTAACTATTCGTAGATAGATATAGTTTATATAGAAAAGTTTGGCTTATTAACTAAGTTGGTTTCTGCTTGAAAACTAGCTGCTGCTTACAAAATTTAGACTCTATATCTTTTCCAGAATTTTTTTCTTGTTTTCTTGGGACTTTCGCTTCATTATAACTTTGCACTGGGCCGACCTTCGAAGAGAACTTAGCTTAATTAATCAGTTAAATTAAATTAAGTTAGGCTTACTAAACAAATATTTGGACTGGAAATATTTTTAGCAAAATTATTTATCACATTTGCGCTTATCCAAAGTTTAGTGTTGCATTGCGACGGCAATTTAGAAATTATTGGCGGGAATAATTTCCGACAAAGAAAATACTTGGTTACAAAAAGTGATTAATTTTTCTGGGTTTTTCCTTGGGAAATTGATTCACATTTCTCTGTCACTGTCTCGCTCATTCTCTCTCTCTCACGGGGGATTTTCGGGGGGCTGCGCTAGTTCTCACCAACGTAAAGTAATCACAAGTTGCGCTTTTAGGAGCCTTAGTTGGTGTTATTTGGTTTTTTGTTGTTTTTTCTGTAATTTTACTGCGCCTGCGGCTGAACCTGAACGGTGGCCTTCAACTTGCTGGATTTTCCCGCCGCCTTGTGCTGTTGGTAGAACTGCTTGAGGACCTTGCACATGGCAATGGCGAGGATTTTCCAGGCGAGCAGTTGCTCCTCGGCACTGGGAGTGGCCACTGGTTCACTTGTTGCACCCGCTCCTGGTGGTACTGCCTGTGCCGCCGGAGTTGGTGGTCCTTCAAAGTCCACTTGGTCATGTCCCGGATCAATGGAGAAGGCCATGGGACTATCCACCTGATCACCGCTGGGCTCGGACTTTGAGACATGCTCATCTTCGTAGAATGGAATTGCCATGACGTGGTTGAGTCACTCGTGAATTTACGTAAAAATGTCACTAAGGGAAGTTGATTTCCTGATGTCCTTTCTTCCTCTTCCAGATCTGAACTCTAGGCAAGTTGCTGTACGACTGAAGAGCTCCGGTCGTAGGGCACTCGTATTTATACCCGGGAAGCGGCGCGAGAGTGAGCCACCCTTCACTCACAGCCGCTCGCTCTCTCTTTCTCTCTCGTTAACTATCCCTTTCCCACCATTTCTCACCCCCATTTCACCACTCTCTCTCTCTCTCTTGCTCTCTGTTGATATCTGTGCCGCTATGTCGAGCTACTTTCATCACGTGCAGTAAACGTTTCCTCAAAGGAAATCAAGAGCGACAGAGAGAGAGAGGGAGAGTGTTGATATGAGAGAGTCACACTTGTGGCATGTTACGTATACGTAATACGAATTTCACTTTACGTTTTTTGTTTTCGAATTTTAAGGGGTGTTTCGAATAAGAGGAGATATAGATTTTGCTCACAGCCAGCCAGCTTTATGTGTTTCGAATTACGGAAGGGAAGTTTTCGAAAATGGGGAAATGTTTCTAGTTTCGAGTACTGGTTATTAGTTCTACATATATATACATTATATATTTTATTTATATTATATTGCATTAATATATATTTTTTTAAATATTTTTTTTTATGACTTTAGGTCTTTAGATTTGTAAACTTTCAAATTTTTCTTCTAGAAAATTTTTTTCCTATTTGAATTCTGGATTCGAATCCTGAGGGGAAATTTTCGAATTAGATGTTTGACTTTGGTTTTGCTTGAGTTTAGTTTTCGAATTTGGTTTTTCCTGGCTTTATTTTGGTTTAGCTTAGCCATGTCCTTGACCAACATTCTTGTGGCTTTTTTCTTTGCGCTCTCAAAATTGAGCCTGTTGTCTATATGCTCCAAAAATAATCTTGTGGGTTTGTTTTGTGTCAAATATAAGGAAATCAAATTGCAAATACATTATTTTATTTTAAGAATTTACTTTAAAAATTGGAAATGGGAAAAAGCAGTAATATTCAGTATTAATTAAGTCTGTCAAGTTTTCTTAAGAATATTTTTTAATCTTACCAAGTGTCCTATGATTGAATACCTTATAACTTTATATTTCTCCATCTCCATTTGCCTGATGAAAATTCTTTAAACCCTTTTATCCACAAATTTTTAACCAACCAATTTCCCGAATCAAAAACTCCGCATGACAGCCAGAACAATCGGTTACCATTTTGCCAGCCACATGCCACGAATATTTTACGGTTAAGAGGAGTGTCTGACAGGGTCCTTTTGCTCTATCCCTACAGTTTTTTCCCCTTTTCCACGTTGGGAAATCAATTCCACAAATCAACATAATCAACTTCTCGCTGTAAGTCCAAAATATAATGCACTTGCCGTCAGAAAACTTCTTTTGTTACCCGCAGAATAAAAATGGGTGAGAAGAAAGAAAGATGAAATAAGTGCCGTAAAAAATGTAAAAACTTTTTTATAGTTGCAGCATAAAAAAATGTAAAATAAAATCCAACCCAAGGACTTTAAAATGGAAAATATTCGAAAGAGTGCACAACAAAAGGAGATTACCCTCCAGGGCGTCCAGGTGAGTGGGCGGTATCCGATAATGACATCCATGCGCTGATAACCCCACTCCCAGAAATCAGAGGAAAAATCCATGATCTAATTTGCTAAACACTCGAAAGGATACCGAGGAAGGGGTCTTGGCTCTGGGGGTATCATTTACACACAACCTGGAAAATTCGCAAGCCCGGGGATTCTCAAAAGCAAAACAAAGAAAAGAATTGTTTTCGCTTAAAAGAACATTCAAATGGAAATGTTCTGCTTGGCTCAACACAAACAACAAGTGCAGGCGCACACACAAACTGCATTTATTTTTTCTTGGCAAACAAAAAAAAGGGAAGGTAAAAAAATAGGGAAAAGCAAGCAAAAAATCTGGGATCCAAAGGAAAAAGGAACGCATCGCATCGAAAGAGTAGCATTTGAGTACCTCTAGACAGACAGACAATGCACACTACGTATAAAAGTGAAGTTGTACAGAAACAACCAAACAAGACGGCAGGAAAAAAGATGCAAAGGGAGTGGCAGCTCACTGGAAAGGGTGTTGCAGGAAAAATACGGACGAAAGGATACCCTATAATGATAAGAAGTTAGAGAGTTGAATAGATGCAAGAGGCTTGAATACTTTGCTATAGGTATTTTTATACAAGAAAAGTATTATACAGTAAGAGATTTGACCTTTTTATTTATTACGAAATAAAAAAGCAATTCTTAGAACATATTAAATTAAAATAAAATACTCAATTAATTTAAAATTTAAATTCTACGAAATGTTTATTGTAGTACAAGAACCCTGTTCAAATCCCTCGATTCTTTAGGTACTCCTAAAATTCCCCCTTCTACAAACCCTCTCAATTTCCCGATTAATTTCCTCACTTCTCTCCCTACCTTTTCACTTATTGCCAATCGATATCAGCACATCTCTAATAGCTATTAAAGGGTATTTACCTTACTCTATCTTAGCGTAAAAAAATATACAAAAAATAAGAGTCGCAGAAAAAGCAGCGTCGATTTCGTCGTCTATGCACTTTGTTGCCTTCTGGCTGTCAGATTGATATTAAATTATATACCTTATTATCATGGCAGTGTTTGCCTTTTTTTTGTTTATTTTGTAGAGTGAGTGAGTTTATTTACAGCTGGCAACAATTGTTGCTGAAATGCATTTCACTTTGCCGCACTCTGGAGGAGGATGCAACGCAGCTCAAGCCGAGCCAAGCCAAGCCAAGGGAGTCAAAGTCAAAGCCCGGGCACTTCACATGTGGTTCCCCCTTATTTCTGCATTTATGGGCGGGCTTCTGTTTTGTTTTCTTGTGTAAACTGTTATTTTTGCAGAAGGTGGAAGGATACGGATACAAGGGCTTTATGCTTGATGGTTGACATTAAATGGCTGCCACATCTTCGCATCCTGTCTTGTCCTTCCTTCCCAGCCATAAAGTGGCTAAAGTGCCAAGCTTAAAGTTGCCCGGCAATTTAAAGCGGATGGTAAATAAAATATTTATATATTTGTGCTGCTATTCACGCAATTTTTCCTTTCCTTTTATATTGACCATCAAAATAAATTGAAGTAATTTTAGTTCGATGCGCAAACTAAATGGGATTAAAGATTTCGATTGTTTGATTGCTTATTTGTTTATTTGCTTTGGCTTTATGGGAGGTAGAAATTCCTAGGAAGAGCTTGCAATTGTTCATTGTAACTTATATACGCTTCAACTAAGCTAAATTAGTTTACAATGAAATATATGCTGTGTTTTGCTGATAAAGTTAATTGAAGTATTCAAGAGGTTTAGTAACTAAGTTTTACTGGAATTGGTTTAGAGTAAAGTTGGTGGAAAATGGAATGAAATGTAAAGTATTATAAATTGCTTTTAATAATCTTTAGGGATTTTTAAACCATAAAGTTTAGGTATGTTTCTAACAACTTTATTCTCTAAGTTGTTAACTTTCTCTCAAATATGTTTAATATATTCTTATAGTCATATTTTCCAACTAATTACCCAAACCATAGAGCTCTCTTTCTATGGAAACTGATGGCTAATCGACTTCATTGTCTACCACAGGCAACCAAAAGTGGCACACTAATTAACAAATTGATTTATGGTAATGAAAATGACAAATCTCCAGGGACAAGGAACCCAATCATCATCCGGGTAAAGCCAAAAACTCTCATATGCAAAATAATTTTGCACAAAAAAAAACAAAACAGTCAGGATATTTGAGGGAGAACCACCCTCCAGGGTTGGTCGAAAAACTTTGACTTTGCGGTTGAATCTGGAACTCATCCGCCGCAGACAGACATTTAATTAAGGTGTCTTCATGGTAACAATCTCGGTCTGAACTCGAATGGCAAATGAGTCTAATTAATAACGAGGCATTTGCCACATAATTCATTTGGCAGATCCAAACATTTCTTTTGCAAAGGATATTTTAAGGGGATGAGTAATTATGGCTTAGCCTTTGGGTACAGTTTCGGTAGAATGAAAAGTATATATATTTATACACCTAATTTTAGCTAAACAAAATTTTCACAAATTTCTGACCACATTTGGTCACTTGAATTTCATTTATTTATTTTCCTTTTTTTCTTCCTGAAGCTTTTTTCCTTCCTCACTGGCTATTTTTCTTTGCCATTTTGATGACTTAAGCCTGGCGTCTGACTTGAATTTATTGCCGGGTTGATATGTCCCTTGGACCACCGTAATTTATGCAAATTGTTTAGCACTTTTCCCCCCACAACTGTAGACCCTTGTGCAGCGCAATTAATTCCAAAGTTCAATCATATAGAACTAAAACCGGCTGGGCGAAAGTTGTATTTATTTTGAGTTGGTTTCCTTATAATCGAATTTTAAGGATAAACTTTACATTGTGTGGAGAACTAAAGTAAATAAACATTGTGGGGTCCGGCCAAGACATCAAAAGCGTGTTTAATTTATGGTTCGTTAGGTCAGCCATTTGCTGTCAGCAAGTGGAAGGACCTTTTGTCCTGACTGGGGCCGTATGCAAATCAAATGGAGTATTCATCTTCGTCAGTCCTTGGACCCTTTTTGCGGAGATCCTTTGAGGTGTTTGGCTTAAACACTAAATGGGAATAATATACAAAAGGCGGCAGTGGAAACACTCTCGAAAATTTCACCCCTCCAATTGGGGTAAGGAATAATTCGTTTTTGATTTCCCAACCCCCCATCCACAGTCTTTGGTGGGAAAGTGGACCCAAAACATGTGTGAGTGGGGAAAATTTATGTGTGTGTCCAGTTTTGGCCATAAAAAAAGGGACAACAAACTCAAGTCCGACTTCCTTCGAGGGGATAGAATACAAAAGAAACATTCGGCATGCATCCTTGTGCGGTCAGCATAAAAGGCGACAAAGTGCCACTTTGGTGCTTTAAACTTTCTTCCCCACTTGTTACTTGTTACTTTTAAATGATTAAATGCATTCTATTGCAGAGTACTTCTTCTTTTATTTTAAACTCCCAATTCCTGGGGGTTGTAA